AACAGGAGCCTGAAAAGGTTGTCATGGGTCGCTACCACCAGAAAATCAGAAAAAGAAACAAACTTGTAGATGTTGAGAAAGAGGACAAGGCATATTATGTCCCAATTCTAAAGAGCATTCAATAGCTCTTAACAAATTATGCTGTTGTTGAAGAGGTTTAAATTTGTTTATCAATTTGTTGATTTCCAATTTGATGCCATGCAAACATTATAAAATAAATATTTAGATTGACAACCCACACAACCGTAATGATGGCTTACTGCAGGACTACTGTGATGGTGAAGAATTTAAAACATGTACATTTCCTACACAACCTTTCAGGCACAGCATGCATATCAGTCTCAAACTTCAGAAATGTAGTCTACTTGAACTGAGACATTTATTTTGATCATAGACATGCTCTTCAAATATTCCTATTTTTTGATGAGCTGGAAGTTTGCAACCCCCTTGGATCCCAAGCAAACACTCATAAAATTGGTAAGCTTGTCTAAATTAACAGAATATTTTGTGCACTCATAAAATTTGTGGACATAAAATTTGGGATATTGATGGCTTTAAACATAATGCATAAATTGAACAATATGTACATTTCCACAAGATATTTACACAATGTATTTACCTTTATAATAATTCAGGCAATTTCTATTACAACCTTGGGAACATTTCACCAGAGAAACAATCTAGTCTGAGTGCTATACAACTCATAGCCATCATCAACAGTGAAATATGGCATTGATGTCATCCTTGAACTCATCATGAAGGACATTAAACAACTTGAGGAGGTAGCATATATGCTTCTGGGAACCTGCAATTATAATGAAGTTTGACAAGTATATACAGGGTGTATAAAAAAATGTCCCAAATGTAAAAATTCCGTTTTTCAGGATATTTTGCAGAATTTGGCAAATTTTTCTGTTCCTAGAGATAGTTAAGACTTATCTGGTATACCTAGGCCAAGTTTGGTTTTTCATTAACAAAATTATGTTACCGGGGGGGTGGTTCCTTTCCACTGATATTGCGAGGGCTTGCGCGCAAAAATGTGAAGCTGAAATTGAGATATTATTTAGATGTCTAAAAGTAGGAAAGCTTTTTAATAAACTGTCAAAGTTTCAGGAAAAATAATGCAAACTGGGAGCAACACGCGACGCCTAAAGGTGACAAATATTTCATTGCGCGCAGTGGATTAAATGCATCGTTGATTTTAGCGTGACCGATCTCATACAAGGTGGGCAAATGAATAAATTAAAGCGAGAAACTGAACACAAAAACAAAGCGATTTATTTGTGATGTTAATCCTCAGCATGTCCACCATTTCATTCTAAGCAAACTGCGGCTTGTCTGAGCATACTAAACACTGAACAGCGAACCATTTGTCTGTCCATTTGCCTAGATTTGCCGGTGGTAGCGTATAGGCGATTTGCAAGAAAGAATTTCGAACGAAATGGATAATTTGAGGCAGGACAGACAAATGTGGTTCGCCGTTCAGTGTTTACGATGCTCAGACGAGCTGCAGTTTGCTTAGAAAGAAATGGTGGAAATGTTGAGGATTAACATCAAGAATAAAAATCTTGTTATTAAATCGCTTCGTCCTCTTGTTCAGTTTCTCGCTTTAATTTATTCATTTGCCCAGCCTTGCATGAGATCGGTCACGCTAAAATCAACGATGCATTTAATCCACTGCGCGCAATGAAATATTTGTCACTTTTAGGGGTTGCGCGTTGCTCCCAGTTTGCATTATTTTTCCTGAAACTTTGACAGTTTATTAAAAAGCTTTCCTACTTTTAGACAGCTAAATAATATCTCAATTTCAGCTTCACATTTTCGCGCGCAAGCCCTCTCAATATCAGTGGAAAGGAACCACCCCCCCGGTAACATAATTTTGTTAATGAAAAACCAAACTTGGCCTAGGTATGCCAGATAAGTCTTAAATATCTCTAGGAACACAAAAAATTGCCAAATTCTGCAAAATATCCAGAAAAACTGAAATTTTACATTTGGGACATTTTTTTTGATACACCCTGTATACTGATGCATAATGATATAATTTAAGCTTATTTTATCTCAAAATTCATTTAGGATACTGGTTTTGAATTTGAAGTACACGGTGAAAAGAGCATCTTCAGGGGAACTATTGCATATGCCTCAGGAGATAACCTTGGATCTCAACTATTGGGGGGGGGGGGGTTTAAGGAAGGATCTCAAGCCCATCGGACATGTAGAGAGTGCATGGGACTTGCAGAAAAATTCAAACTAAGGTAAAGTTTAATTAATGTAGACATCCACTGAAATTGGCAAATAGTTCATTTAACTTTTTTATAACTGAAACACCCTTCACCCTTTATTCACAACCAAAACAATTGTGGTGGGTTGAATAAACCTCCCAAAAATTAAACCAGCATGAAAACCAAACTTATGAAGCAAAATTTTGTTTTATACCGTGTAAACTGCGTATAAGCAAATTATTAACAAAATAGTGCTCAATATATCTTTAATACCTAAATTTGTAGTTTCATGAATCAGAATTCACATTAAGAACAAGGGATGGCTATGATGTTCACTGCAGACATCTTACTTGTGCTGATTATTTCAGTACTGCATATGGCTTAAATAGGAGGTCTCCTTTGAACAACTCAAAGTATTACCATGTAGTTGGTGGACTACCTGCCGATGCCATGCATGGTGTCCTAGAAGGAGTGCTTCAATATCATACAAAAGAGCTACTGAAGTTCTGCATTCTGAAGCAGAAAACTTTCACCTTGGATGAACTTAATAAAAGAAAAACTTCCTTTGATTATGGGTAGGTAAAACAAATATAATATTGGTTTTATAATTATGCATGATTTCCACAGATCATGGTAATTTTATCAAAATGTGTCTAAGGGTGTCTTGGAAGTTTTCTGATTGAGCTCTAAGTGGTGGCTTACAACTTCTTTACAGTCATGACTTAAAAGGGTTAAGTAGTTGTGATGACACAAACAAAATTTGGACACTTAGTTAATATACAAATAACAAAATACACAATTGTTATTATTAGTCATTAAACAGTCAGTAAATACAAATTTATGCATGACTTTGTCCAAACAAAATATGTTGAATTTACAATGAAATTCAAGTTGAGAACTTGGCAAATTATGTACATAAATTGAAGAGAGTTCAACGAATGTTCTAAAATCGAGTCTCAAGCACACCATAGTGTAACTATTGTTGCTTAATTTTGTTACATTAGTTTATAACATCAAAATTTCTGTGTGGTCTCATATTAAATGTCTGTCTCTTATATTCAAGAAAGGAATACGCAAAGCTGAACATTATTAAAGCCCCGCACACACAAGCAAGTTTTCCTTGACAAGTTTTATTTGCCCGTGTGTACGCACGAAAATTGACAATTTTTCCTTCACAAGGAGCCTTGTTCAAAAGCTAGTCATGCCAGCTTTTCAACAAGGAAAAATGTTCGTGTGTACAGCCGTCAAGGAAAACTTGACAAGGAAATGCGCAGTAGGCTACTGCGCATCAATATATTCGAGCGGCTTTTTGAAGTTTCATAATTTTTTTTTTTGTTGAAATTCGGTCCTTTAAGAATTATTATGGCAGTTTCCTGGACGGATTCTGCTGTCTTTATTTTATTGGAAGCCCTACAATCCAGAGAAAGTTTGTGGAACACGGGTATCACAGAATATAAGGACAAAAACAAAAAGAAACGTGAATATGATGAACTGCTTCAACTTTTGAAAGATAATTGTCCTGCTGTCAACTTAGCCGCTTTAAAAGGTATTATATAATTTTATTTTGTAAATTAATGAGGAAAACTGAAAAGCAATACAAATTAGATGTTCTGACTATATATTGTTCTGACTATACATATGTTTGCCAAGTTGGGTGCTTTGCGTCTAATTTTAAAATTTTCAATTGAAAGGTAAAATACAAAGTTTGCAAACGTCTTTTAGAGAGGAAGTGCGGAGGTTAAGAAGAGCCAAGGCACGGGCAGTGGTACAAATGATGTTTATGCTCCAAAGTGGAAGTTTTATGAACTGTGCAAATTTTTGGAGGATGTTGTATTGTCTAAGAGAGCTACAGTTTCAAACGTATCCGCTCCCAGTCGTTTGAATGATTTGGATGGTGAAGATGATGATGTTGATGATGATAAAGTTTCAAAAGAAAACTAACCTCAACAAACAATTGTACCAGCCTCTTCAGATGTCCAACATCCAACAAAGAAAAAGCGTACCTCCTCATGGATGGAAACTGCAGCAAATGCCCTAAATGAATTAGCTAAAGGTGCAACCACTGAGCTACAAGATGAATGGGAAATATTCGGTAAAGATGTTGCCAGTTCAATCCGCTCCCTTGGGAATTTGCATTTGCAGCGCAAGGCCAAGTTTGCTGTCCAACAAGCACTTTTCCAGATATCAGAGCCAACCCCTGTAACCCCTCCTTTTGCTCCCCAGTCCATGCAATATGGCCAAATGAATGGTCAAGGGAGTGAAATGTCACAAATGTTCAATTATCCACCATTGCAGAGTATTCACTATAGAGATTACTGACACTAGGTTTTAATGTTGAAACAGTTTGAAAAAGTTGTTTTTGTTATTGTATGCAGTGGTGGATTTACTGGGGGTGCATGCCCTCCTTAATCTCTACAGGAGGAATGCAAAATTAGGTGGGGCATGCCCCCAGATCCTGCTAGGTGGCTCGCACTTTCAGCACTCAATCGCCTGCTTAAGTCACCCTGGTGCACACCCTAAAATTCAGGGATGGATCCACCACGGATTGTTGAAGTAGATAAGTTACAACACTGTGTTAGTTGTGGTTTTTGTATAATTTATAAATATTCTGTACACTCAATTAAGTTACACTCAATACATTATAAAATAATTTCACTTAAAATATATATTTTGTTGTTAATAATTACATAATTTTATTGTTGTACAAATATTGTATTAAGAATGATTCAATAACATTAATTTTCAATTTAAGGTATACATCTTATAAATGATTTGAAATTATTCAGTCATTTTCCATTGAAAGTCAATAGCCCCTTCATTAAAGAAATATTCCTTTAATGTATCGCGCACCTGTCGAGCTTGTAGGGTGGAGGATCGTTCGCGTGGTGTTCTTGCCAAATTACTTAGTGGAGAATCATTAATTAGACTTCTCCATGACCCAGGGGTGGTGTTTCCTGACCCATCATCTATATCCATAAAACCAGATGGGGAATAAACTTTATCTTTTTTCATAGAGAGAAAATTGTGCAGCGTGACACATGCACAAACAACTTGCATTGCATTTGGAACATCAAGTTCCAATGTGCAAAGTAACACTCTAAACCTGGAACACATGATACCAAAAGCATTCTCGATTATACGTCGAGCATGGGAAAGGCGATAATTATAAACTTTTTCATCGCCCATTGCACTACGATGAGGGTAAGGTTTTTGCAAGTTTACATCAAGAGCAAAAGCTTCATCGCCTATTAAATAGTATGGGACTGCCAAACTTGTTCCTGGTAAACAACTTGGTTGGGGAAATAGCTCTGATTTACATAATGAGCTTAGGCTACCATGCTTAAAAATCCCACCATCTGATTGGCTTCCAGCATCACCTAACTGAAATGCTATAAATTGTGCATTTGCATCAGCTACACCCAATAAAACAATACTAAAATGGTTCTTATAATTAAAATAGTCTGAACCCGTATTTGGGGGAGCACGGATGTTAACATGCTTTCCATCAATGGCTCCCACACAGTGGGGGAATTGCCACTTTTCTTCAAATTCTTTAGCAATTTTGAGCCACTGTTCCCTGGAAGATGGAACACACAGACATTCGTACAAAGCTCTGCATACTTCTGGGACTATTTGTGAGATAGTGGAGGCAGGAATGCGGAAAGAGTATGCCAAGTCTCTGTATGATGCCCCTGCAGCCAAGAACCGAAGAGTGAGGGATAATTTTTCATGAGCAGAAATTGCATCCCTCATGTTAGTGTTTTGTCTCTGAATAAGTGGCTTTATCTTTACCAGAATTTCATCAAAGGTTATTGGTTGCATTCTGCAATAAAAAAACTTTTACTCAATCCAATGTACTATATACCTCAGAAACACTTCAGAAAATCATGGCACATGCAGGGGCCATATTTCCATAACTGCCAAAATTGTAATTTACTTTTATCATTGTTATTGTAAACTTTACTGGACAGCAAAACAAGTCATATCAAAAGGCACTCAATTTACAAAATTATTCAATTACTAACTAGAAATACATGCATGCAGTAACCCCTCGCCGGTTCTTAATGCGATAACATAATTTCCAAAAATCGGTGAAAAATAAATTTAATTAAAAAATATATAAATACAAACTATGTTACAAATTCACCAAATTTACAGAATAATAAAAATAACAATTTACATATTAATTTAAAACAATTTAAAAATTTAATCAATAACAATAGCCCCGTTTACATTACAGTCAATTTATCGGCACGGCACGGCTAAAATTGGTACCCGTGCCCAATTTTAATAGGGAGCTTTAGCAGTGACTACGAGTACGACTACGAGTACGAGATTCGTCATTCTCGCGCGTTGTTTGCTTAAGCCATCAGCCAAAACTCGTAGTCGTTGGGCTTTTGAGTACGAGTTTTTTGATAAATTTCGTACTCAAAAGCCCAACGACTATGAGTTTTGGCTGATGGCGTAAGCAAACAACGCGCAAGAATGACGAATCTCGTAGTCGTAGTCGTTCGTACTCGTAGTCACTGCTAAAGCTCCCTATTAGTGTTCAGGCTACGAAAGCAAAGGTCGAGCACAGATGAAATACGCACTCATTTTAGCCGTGCCGTGCCATTAATAAATTGAGTCTAGTGTAAACGGGACTAATAAAACGTGAGAACAACACGAGGCTACGTTGACATACAGTGATTTATGAGCAGCTAGTTGAAAACAATATTGTCTCGTCTTTAATGTACTGATAGCTCATTGTTTTTTTAAATCTTATTAAACATTTGTATACCGGGCAAGATGTTCAACGTGGAGATTTCAATTAAACTGTATGTCAACGTAGCCTAATCTGCACGTTTGAGAAGTTCAAGCAAATCAAGCATTGAACTTCTCAAACGTGCAGTTTGTAAACTGCATGGTGGGTTTTATTGCCCCAGTTTTTTGTGGCCCCTGTCGCTGCGGACACACGACTTTCGTGTGCCCTCTTCGGCCACATAACCAACAAACAGCCCCTATAAATAAAAAATGTTATTATATAGCTTTGAGTTAACTGTGAATTGGTGATAGAACTGCAGAATAATCACTCGGGTCACCAGTTGGAGAAAGAAATAGCCTAAAACATTATTGTCATATATTGCGATGGGCAGCGTCTATACTACCATCTGCTATCTAAGAATAGCCCTGAAGCCATGATTATATTGTTTGTGAACCAGTGACGTAACAACTGACTATACATTACGTGACAAATCATAAGGTACTGTATACATACGTGCGTCGCATGTCGCGGCTCGGTGGCCACGAAGGCCACATTTGTAACACCGCCCTAATATCAAGAAATGATATCAAGAAATAATTGGTTTGCAGGCTACCAAAAATCTTGAGTTAACTGCATGACCATTATCAATTAAACTTTACTAACCTCTCATTTGTCCATGCAACACTAAAAAGACAAAATATGATATTGAGCATCCTGACAATGCAAATTTGTTGAGTAGCATCAATGGGAAAAACCGGAAACAATTGTTGTGGATATAATGAATCATACAGTACCTCTGCCTCTTCCCCCGAACCGCCCAGGGCGTGGGTCATTATCTAAAATAAATAAATAAAACAAACTTGGTTGACATATTGCATAAATCCATGTAATGATAGGAGGCAACCTTTTTAATTTTAGAGTTTTAAATTGATGACAAAAAACTTGAACATGCATCATCATCACTTAATACATAAAATTAGTAATATAGAACAAAGTAGCTGATACATATATACTGTCAAGGTTTGCATTAACTTGCAAGGCTTGAGAGTTAAAAATATAAGTTAGTTCATTTCAATATATATCAAGATGCAATTGCTCTACTATACCTTTCTAATCATAAAATGTTAAACAATATAGGCAGTATATACAAAATTTCAAAGAACATATTATTTTGTGCATATTCAATCAGCATACCAGGCCTTTCTTGAGGTGCATGACCATTGTCAATTGAACTTTACTAACCTCTAACTTGTCCATGTAACACTAAAAAGACAAAATGTCATATTGAGCATCCTCATAATGCGATATTTTTTGAGTAGCATCCAATGACAAAAACTGGAAACAATTGTTGTGGATATAATGAATCATACAGTACCTCTGCCTGCCCCCCGAAACCGCCCAGGGCGTGGGTCATTATCTAAAATAAAAAAATAAAACAAATTTGGTTGACATATTGCATAAATCCATGTAATGATAGGAGGCAACCTTTTTAATTTTAGAGTTTTAAATTGTTGACAAAAAACTTGACCATGCATCATCATCACTAATTAATACATAAACTAAATAATATTGAACAAAGTAGCTGATATTACCATCAAAATTTGCATTAACTTGCAAGGCTTGAGAATTGAAAATATAAGTTAGTTCATTTCAATATATATCATCATGCAATTGCTTCACTATACATTTATAAATGGTAAACAATATAGGCAGTATATACAAAATTTCAAAGAACATATCATTTTTGTGCATATTCAATAAGCATACCAGGCCTTTCTTGAGGTGGAGGATTCACTAGATTAAATGAAAGTATTTCAGTTGTGCAGGGAAAGTATGCATCAATAAGTCACATAAATCATGAAACTTACTGGGTTGCTCATCTGGCCCCTGGCCGGCCAGGTCAGGGACTGCTTCAAGTATTTCTATAGTGAAAGAAAATTTGCATGTGTTATCCTTTTAGTGCTATGTGAAAAGACATACAAATTAACTAACTGTGACAAAAATAATATTTCAAATAGTTTTTTAATCATATTTACCATCATCATTATCAATATCAATGTCTAAAATCCAACAAATAATTGTTAAATTAGATTTTTGAACATTGGAAATGATCAACGACATTTTAATCAGTTGCTAATTTGTACATTCAGAGTGAAAGATATATAAATATGTGCCTATATACATACCAAGTATGAGTTCATCCTCATTATTCTCCACTAAAGTAGTTGGTAAAGTAGATGTACATATTAATACAATAATTGCACTACCAACATCATGAAAAAAGTGCTTTGTTGAAATAATTTTGCATCTTACTTCTTCGTCTCTTTAGATCTTTAGAGTATATATAAATATGCCATCAACATAAAAAATATATTGAGCAAAAAAAGTATGTAAAACAACAGCACCATATAGCGTACTCGAGGCAAGCTCAAAAATCATAAATACAAATATTAGTTTTGAAAAAATATATCTATTGTAATATAAAAAAACTTACATGTTTTAGATTTTTTTCAAAACTTCTTTTAATCTAAAATATAAGAAAAAATATAATATTTTCATTATTTCCTAAAGATAAAGCGCATCAGCCATCAGCGTTGCAAAAATCGACAAATTTATAAATGCTTTAAAAAAAGTTTTTGCAGTTTCTTCCAAAAATGTTTCTCCTCAAATTTGTAAATGAAAATGTCAACAAGCGAGAAGTGTAGTATAATTTATTGGGCGAACTTCGAAATGTTCAATATTTTATAAAGTTTTTTATTATGAATATGACTTACCGCAGTCCAAACAGTGACACAGAACAGGACGATATTTTCGCGCGCTTTTTGAAATTTATGCTATACGTGGATTTTGCGTGTACTCTTTTTCAGTCACCAGGTAAATCGCGTAAACGCCTACACGCACGAATTATAAAGTAAAGAGTTTTGAACAGTGAAACGGTTGATTGTTTATATTGTATCTTACCTTACCTGATTGATGTTCTAATGTTTTTTTAGTAAAACGAATAAACTTTAATAATGTAAATATCTGTACATGTCAACAGCCACCCTCAAAAACATAATACGTGAGATTATGTCTAGTAACAGGCAATGACACATGTTTACATGATAAATTGCCCTCCTCAAAAACACAATAGAGGAAATGTCTGTAACAATTTTTTAGCAAATTCATTTCCAAAATTGTGTCTAGTAACAGGCAAGTCTTTCCTCGAAAGCACATTGGTGCCCAGTATCATTGAACAATATATATGTAGCAACACAAACTTACAGCACAATCCATCCACCTGATTTTCAATACTTATGCCTCTGCTCAGTCTTTTCTGCAAGCACACGAAGTCGTCGTTCCGCTTCTTGTCGCTTCTTTAAATTTTTATTCCTACCAATGACTTTCAGACGATCAAATGTCATAGGTTCAAACACAATATCATGAATTGATCTTACCCTGGATGTTGCCACAAACGTGCAGCCAGCAACTCTCTCCCCTTTACCTAAATCAACAACAGCCTTGGTTAGTGTCTGTCCTTGGGACTTGTGTATCGTCATTGCATACCTCAGCCGCAAGGGCAATTGTTGTCTTGACAAATACTTTCCATCCGCCATCCACTCAAACAGTCTTGGAGGCACAGGTATACACTTTGAACATTCTTGTAGAAATGCAGGGCCAGAATATGCCGGAAAATGAACCAGTACTGCAATCGGTAGATTTGGTGGACCCATATTCTCTGCAAACCAAAATTGCTCAACAGTTCCAAAAGAGCCATTGCAAAGACTGACTTCTGCCCAAAGGTTACATGTCAGCATCACTTCTGCTTTGGTTGACAAAAAGAGGACAGCTTCCAAACCATCAGCTTCATCAGAGGTTGCCGCACTTGCACCCCAACCGGAATGCCTTGCTTGAATTTTGACCAATGGTTGTCCAATCTCTAGCAACTTTCATAATTATATTCAGCGACACTTTTTTTATCAAAGTACAGCCGAATAGCATCACTAAATTGATCCATTGAAACGTTAGGTCTGGAGTGCTGTATTAATAGTCTCCAGTCCATCTCGGTAACTTGTCCATCTCTCATTCTCATCAATAGCGCCCTGAATGCAACTACTTCTGGGTCTTCACCAATCTGTCGCATGACCTGCTCTAAAATGACTACATAATCAAATGTTAAATACATACTGTGACCATGGTCACTGATTACAGATCCATTACCTGCAATGTACATTGGCCTATCGCCTACAGCAGGTAACTGGCCGAAATCCCCCATTAGGATAATCGACATGCCACCAAATGGGACATCCTCTTTTCCTGTACCTGCACGTAGTCTGTTGTCAAGCCATGAAAGCATCTTATGTCCAATCATTGACATTTCATTAATAATGAGAAACCTCTTACCTTCCAATCTGAGCTGCAATCTCTGTAAGGAATCACCCTGTAATTCTCTGTATTCCTGAATCGGAAGTTGAGCAGCGAAATGCAAAGTTTGACCACCAATACTGAATGCAGCAATTCCAGTGGTTGCTGTGACAATACATTGGTCTTGCAATACTTGCTTTAGGGCACTAATTAAATATGTCTTACCTGTGCCAGCAGTACCACTTACAATCATATGTAGTGGTTCACATTCATCATTAGCCATGGATGCAGTGATAATGTCAAATGCCAGTCGCTGTTTGTCATTCAAGGTCCCTGGGTCAACCACCACTTGTTGGTCACCTGTTGATACTGCATACCTTGCTCCTCTGCATCCCTTCTCTGTTTAGAAATCCATCCAGGAGATTCTCTCAACAAATCCCCAGGCACACTCTTGCTGCTTCGAACCAATCCACTGCTTCGTTATTTGCCATTTGATTTCCTGCATCCTCATAATGTTGGTTGAGTCTACATAACAACATCCAATCCTCAATTTGCTCTTCCTCATTAGGTTGATCCTGTTCGTCATCGCTTTCATCACTACTTTCATCAGTTCCATATGTCATCTGTCTGTGCAGCATGGACCATCTCTGTTTCAATAGAATACCCAAATACATTGTCTCTAGCAAAATCTGTCTGAAGAAATGAAGCATATGTGTTAATAAACATATCATCAGTTTCCTCCATATTGTCCCATGCATTTGATGACTTATCTTCCCATGGTTTAAACTTAATGAGTTGATACTTGCAGTATTTTCCAAAGGTAGGGCTGCCAGGATTGGCTGTAACCTTTGGAAATGTCCTGACAATATAAGGATTCACTCGTTTTGTCAACTCACCTCTGACTCTTGTGAACTGAGATGCATACTGCATCAAATTCAACTGAGATAACCCCTATACCTACTCTCCACTTTTGTCCGCTCTCCATAATCTTGAAGAACAGAATTCTGAAGTACTTCCTCTTGTGGATTTTCTGCATCAAGGATCACCTTTCTACTGTTTTCTAAAGAAACAGTAACAAAACTATACGTACAGCCTACCAAAGGCAAACTGAGTAACATATGGGCAGTCTCCTGAGCAGCCATGTCTCGATCACCAGCAACTTGGATCATTGCTTTCTTGATTGCAGAAGACACTTGGTCATCATTCTGTAATGAAGACACAGACAACTTCAGTATATCAGAAGCCGATTTTGATCGTGGTTCCCCTTTTGCTGCATACTTGGCCATATATCTTGCACATGCCTTTTCATCCACAATTACCTGTAAATCCACATTGGCCCGCCAATTCTCAAGCATGACCCTGTTGTGTGAATTCAGCCTCTCATCATTTCTCTTGGTTTGCAACTCTGAGTGTACAGATTTATTTTTCTTACCTCGTACCTCATAAATCAGCGCAGTTTCCTCTTGTAATGGTTTTGGGAACCCAAATCTGCACTCTGCAGGCAGGTCAACCCTCTTCTTTTTCAGGCAATACGCTGGACTGCATCTGGTGTGCCTCTCTACTGAATTTACTAACCTGTGATAATCAGCATCATGATTATCAACTGATGTGGCTTTCACAGCAGAAGGGTGTGGATCTGGTACTGTCCAGTTCTCATCAGGCAGATCATCATTAACTGTGGTCACAAGCCAGTCAACATAACTTTAAAAGGGATAAAAAGTAACAAATTGGTTAATACCTAATTTGTATATTTTTTCATATTTGCTGTTTACACTCCCAATTCCTTAACAATAGGAATTACCAATTCCTGAAGAAAATATACGGAATTTTGTTTTGTTTTGTGAATGTATGTGGAAGTTTTATTTTTAGACATTTGCAACATTGCAGCATTTGTATAGTATGCTAACCACTGATGCTAACTGTATACATAGCACACATTGGACACAATCTTTGCAATCTATATGCATGGTGAGTGTAATTTAAACATACCATTAATACTTGATGATTTAAACTTACCTAATTAGCTTTCTCTCCGCATCTTGACCCTCTCTGACAATATCCTGGCAAGAGAATTCAAAATCGTCAGGGGACATTTCATTTTCTTTCTCTTTCTCAAGCACTGCTTTACATGCACGTTTACGTAATAACCGAATATCTGGATCATTCTTTAATTTAGCACATCCATGAGCATGTATACTACCTCTGGCCTGATATTCAAACCTATACCAAAACCATTCAGCATCCAAGACTCCTTGAAGCCAATGTTTGATAAACTCCTGTAGCCTTTGCATGAAGAACCAATCCGTCAGGTGTGGATTGTCTATCACTGCTTGTGCTCTTTCTGTTCTTGATGCACCTTCATTACTTTGCAACAGTCTTTGCAAGTCTGGCCAATGGCTATCAGCTGCACTAAAAGTAAAAAAAAAGGTAGGGCAACCTTTTTGTTCAATCAGGGCTAATAGTTCTTGCAGTCGCTGATACCAATACTGATTTGTTCCTTGAATTTTTGAAACATATCGTTGCAAACGATTTACCATTTGATTTGCACTCATCGAGTTCACCATTGTCTTCAGCTCCTCCATAGTCATGTTTGCATCCGCTGGATGTTGCCGCAAGTAAATGTTAGTGTAACGATACCGACAAGTAGACTCAAATATACTCAGAAAAACTCCACGTATATTTTCATGTATTTACAAAACTGTTGATAAAATAAATATAGCGAGCACACCCCCTCGTCCAAGTCACATGACGTCTATACTGACGTCATATATCGTTACATCTTCCCCTTAATATAAACAAATTGTTTGATACTGTTCTATATAAACAACATTAAAATGTTTTGCTGTTGAGTTTGTTTGTTTGGTTTTTTTTTTAAAATTTTCTAAACAAAATAAAGGCTGTAGATCTTAGTGCTTCTGGTAATCTTTATGCCACTCTGGCGGACGTCTTTCTCGCGTAGATCGACGGAGAATCGTTGCTTCTTGATCAGTATTAGGTGCAACAGACATCCGACTTTCGTCTCTACCCGAGCTGCTTGGCAGGTTCTGGTTCTCCTTATCATGATTTATGGGAGTAACTTGGGTATCTTGTTCCGCAGAGGGCGTACTGGGGACAGATTCCGTATCGGTAAAATGATCAGTCGGTTCGTTTTGCAAATCATCCGTTCTGATAACCGGCGCGATCTCTTTAGTTACACGTAAGTGACGACGATTGCGGCGATAGCGTCTTCCACAAATCTCGACTTCGAACGATCGATTCCCGAGCGAACGTATGCAGGTACCAAGCGACCAATGATCATCTCCCGGAAGTTTCATCCTTACGGCGTCGCCACTTTGTAAAGGTTGTAGGGGTTGACACTTCTGGTTATAGAAGCTTGCTTGTTTTGCTTTGGAGCTCTCTATTTTCTTCTTTACCCTATCTTGCTCGTATGGTCTGAGAAGGCTCTGACGTGTTGGAAGCAACGTACGAGTTCGTCTACCCATTAGTCTTTGCGCTGGTGAGGTTCCTACATTCTCAGTTGGGGTATTCCTCCAGTCCAACAGTGCTAATAGAGGGTCTTCCCCGCTGGCTTTCGCCTTCTTTAGTAGGGATTTACAGGTTTTAACAGCGTTTTCAGCGCGCCCATTAGATTGAGGATAATGTGGGCTCGATGTTCTATGCTCAATTTGCCATTCTGCTGTAAACTGGGCAAATTCTGTTGACGCAAATTGTGGGCCATTGTCGGAGATTAATGTATCCGGGATTCCGTGTCTAGCGAATTGGACTTTTGATGCTGTAACGACGGCTTTCGATGTCATCCTTGTCAACTCTTGAACTTCAAAGAATCCACTCCAGTAATCAACGATGATGAGGAAATTCTGCTGTCCCAATTGAAATAGATCTTCTGCGACCATTGACCATGGCCGGCGAGGTACTTCGTAGGACTGGAGTGGTTCGCGGCACTGTTCCGGCTGATTTGCTTGGCATATTGAGCATTTTGAGACATAATCCTTTACCTCCGCATTCATCCTTGGCCAGTATAATACTTCCCTAGCTCGTCGAAGACAACCCTCAATCCCGATATGAGATTTATGAATTTGTTGAAGCATTTCTTTTCTTAGAGATGCCGGTACGACAAGTCTTTCCCCAAGAAAAACCAGTCCCTTATCTTCAATGAGTTCGCCACGATTGTTGTAGAATGGTGTTATTACTTGTGGGCATTGTTTTCTGTTTAGTGGCCATCCTCTGTTGATGGCGGTAATCAGTTGTTGCATTGTTGGATCTGCTGCTGTACATTTTTCAAACTGTTTTAACCGATTCGGGGCTATAGACACCTCAACTTCTTCTAGAGCACGCACTTCGCTTATATCATGTTGGGCTGATTCGGTCGTACATCGATATGCTCGGCTTAAGGTGTCTGAGATCCACATTAGTGCTCCTTTCTTGTAACGTATATCTAGTGTATAATTCTGCAAAGCCATAAGCATTCTTTGTAGTCTCTTGGGTGATTTGTGGATGGGTTTGGCGAAAACTGCTTTCAATGGTTGATGGTCAGATTCTATATGAACAACCTCGCGGCCTAGGATATATTGATCAAACTTATTAGTGGCCCAAACAATCGCGAGTAGTTCCTTTTCAATTTGGGCATACCTAGTTTCCGTGTCAGTGAGAGCCCTTGAAGCATATGCGATTGGCTGATCTTCTTGCAACAGCACGGCACCAAGTCCGGTCTCACTTGCATCGCATTGTATTGTAACTTCTTTATTGATGTCGTAGTAAGCTAGTACAGGGGCCTTTGCGAGGAAGTCCTTAACTGTTTTGAATGCTTGTTCGTGTTGTTCTAGCCAACACCATTCAACATCCTTGTCCTCGAGCTTACGGAGTGGTTGAGTCATGTCCGATAGTAGTGGTAAGAATTTGGCGAGATAGTTGACCATCCCCAAAAATCTCTTTACTGCCTTGACATCGGTTGGAGAGGGCATTTCAAGAATGGCTTCAACTTTGGCAGGATCTGGCTTTAACCCTTCGGGGGTGAGTAGATGACCCATAAATGCTACTGACGATTGTCCTCGTTTTAGCTTGCTCTTATTCAACTTCAAATTCCATTTACGACACTTTTCGAAAAATGCCCGCTCGTTCTTTTGTAGGCTCGCGTTAACTTCTTCGTCTGTGTTTCCGAAACCAGCAATGAGAAAGTCATCTGCAATCACTTCAACCCCTTCTAATCCTTCTACGAACTCATGCATTCGACGCTGCCAAACCTCAGGAGCGCTTGAAATGCCAAATGGTAGTCGAGTCCACCGATACCTTCCAAATGGGGTGTTGAACGTGGTCAGGAGACTCGAGTTTTCATCGAGTTCTATTTGATGAAATCCATCTTTTGCATCACACACTGTGAATTTCTTGGCTCCTGTTAGGCGGGTAGTCACCTCCTCAACGGTGGGCAGCTGATAATGCTCACGGCATATTGCGCGATTGAGATCACGTGGATCGATGCAGATCCGGATTTTATTTGGTTTCACGACAGCCAACATACTTGATACCCATTGTGTTGGTTTAGACACTGGAACGATCACCTCACGCTCAACCAGCTTATCCAATTCTGATTTTATTCGTGGACGTAAAGCTACGGGTACTCTTCGAGGGGCATGAACTGCGGGCTGTACGGTGCTATCCGTTACAATCTTGTGTGTATCTGGTATTTTCCCCAATGAGCCATCAAACAAATCCTCGTATTCATTGCAAAGGTCTTTTGGGGTTTGAATACCCAGAGAAAAAATGTCACAATGTCGAAGGTTCACAATCCCAAGAGCTATGCTAGTGTCAAGGGACAAAATTGGTCGATAATCGCCATCAATGATGTTAAACTTAATATGTTGTTTATGACTTGCGCGCCATACCGGAAGGGTGATTTTTCCCGTTATGTTGCGCCGCTCTCCAGTGTATGACACTATTTCCTTCTGGCACGGTTTTAGTAACTTTAACTCAGTGTCCCCTGTAACCTTCACATAAGTCTCAACCGGAAGAATGTTACACTGGGCTCCTGTGTCTATCTGTATCTTTACTATATTCTCTTTCCTTTGTTTGTTAATGAATAGTTTGGTCACTGCTACTTTTGCCTTCTTCTTTGGATTCTTTGAAACTGAGCTAATAATGTATGGATCCTCTGAGCCGGAATCAGAATCCTCTTGGAGAAAAAACGCAGTTTTCCCGCGACACATTTTTTTAAAATGGTTAAGCTTGTCACAATTATGGCATTTTTTTCCAAATGCAGGGCAAGCTCGTCTCCCGTGATATCTTCCACAGTTGCCACAGCTATTCTGTTGATAGGTGCCGCCTCTGATTTTGCCTCTGCCCCGCCCATCATGAGTATTTTGCATTGGTGATTTTGTATTATGACTATTTCCTTGACTATTAATTGTGTTTACTAATAACTCGCTGGTTATTTGTTTAACTTGTTGCTGTGTTTGTTCTGCCGCTTTGATTATTTCGACAGCTTTCTTTAGTGTCAACCCGTCTGTGCGTAATAATCGTTCGCGGACTTTGTCATCTCTGATACCCAAAACTAATCTGTCTCGTAATATCTCATCGGGTGTAATTGACTCGTGATCACAATTTCGTGCTATTGTTCGTAACTCTGTCAAATAGGTGGATATATTTTCACCTTGTTCTTGCCTTCTATTATTGAAACGATATCGTTCGTAAATAACTTGAATTCTGGGCTCGCAATGCTCATCAAATTTCTTCAAAACATGGGCTATATTGTCTTCGCTTTCGTCTTCTCCCCACGTAAATGTGTCGAATGTTTTGGCGCCATCTTCGCCTATTATACTTAACAAAGTTGACACGCGAACTACATCATCTTGCTTATAAACTCCCGTGGCGATCTCAAAACGCTTCCAAGCCTTTTTCCAAGTCTTCCAACTGATTGCAATGTTGTCATCAAATACAAGCGGTTTTGGTGGAGGTATATTTGAAGGCGGAACATAAATGGCGGCGGATGCTTCCCCGTCTGACATTGCACAATCACTTGTACGTCCTTTTCCTTGTTTTATAGTGATTTTTGTTGTTTTGTGAAACGCCTCGTTGGTGTAGGATATCCCACACCTGACACCATGTAACGATACCGACAAGTAGACTCAAATATACTCAGAAAAACTCCACGTATATTTTCATGTATTTACAAAACTGTTGATAAAATAAATATAGCGAGCACACCCCCTCGTCCAAGTCACATGACGTCTATACTGACGTCATATATCGTTACAGTTAGCTTGTGACAACAACTGATGTCTCTGCTTCATATTCAGTGCCCAGTATGGGAACCGAGGATGAGAGGCAAACCTCCATTCAAACTTACCATTTGGTAGCCTCTCTGCAAACTTCATTAGGTGTTTGAATGCCTCTGCCAAACTTACCTCATGTTGCCTGACTCTGTTTGTTGGGTCACTTCTCCCATATGGAAATAGTGTTGGAAATGCCATGCTTGCCAAACCATCTGTTTTAAATTCATTAACAGCATTACCTTCTGTAGATGGCCAGTCCAAAGGGTCAACCTCATTTACTGCATCTTGGATAGCTGCACCATCCTTTCTTTGTCTTTGACGCATAGGAATAAATGATGTACTGCCATTTCCTAAAACTAATTCTTCAACTGTCGCATTAGCACTCATTACAGGTTCTTGCGGGGGGCCCTCATTTTCAACATGAACTGAAAGTTCATTGTCATCAATAACATACCTTAGCTCTTTAGGGATACCATTCTCTGGTAGGCTTTGGATAACATCCCTGTCAATCTCAATGTCTTTGAAAAATGGATTGTTTGTTTTCAACCACAAAATAGCTTCCAGCACTCTGTGTCGACGAACTGTAAAATCTTTATGTGTTTCATCAGCACCCTGTCTACGCACAATCATAACAGGCAAGTCAGCTACTTGTGCAGGCAACCTATTCAAGAAACTTTGAATATCCTGTGGTAAGTTTAGTACATGGCCTTTATAGCCCCTTTGCCCACCATGTTTTCTGTAGACTTGCATGATGGGGCAAACCCTTGAAATCAGCATTTCCTCTACCTGTGTCAAACCTCTCAATTGCTCAGGAACAATACCTGGGTCCATGTCATTGCCAGCACTGAAATTCTTTGGGGACTTCTTGTCTCTTTTGCACCGGTAACAAACAAAGGGATCTGCTGCCAAGTTTTGCCTTGTTGGCCAGGCCTCTTTACAAATTGTACACTGCCGATGCTCTAAATGCTCTTGATCTAAATGAAAACTGTGCATTTCATTCTGAACAAACTCCTGCTCATGCAAGGGGTTGTCAACATTTTGCCAACCACCTTCAGGCAAATATTGGTCTGAACTACAGCTACTTACAGCATTTGTACTTTCTTCGTCACACATTCTTACCCGATTGTTTTCTGACTGTACCTCCTGAGGTTTCGACCTTGTCTCGTATGATTTTTTCGCATGTTTCCTCATATTTTCAAGTCTTTCTGCTCGTTTTTGGACACTTTCACGTTGCCTTCTCTCTCTTGCGTTTGCTCTTTTTTCTTTCCTTAGCATCTCACTTGCTTCACTTGTACTTGCTTCCTTTCTCCGTTTATAAGCAGCCCTACGCTTTGCCAAAGGACTTTCTCTTTGCTCTGGCGTTTGTTGTTGTAAAAGTTGCCGTTCTTTCCCTCTTTGCATCTCAATTTCCTCGCTTGTACTTGCTTCACTACTCCGTTTATAGGCATCTCGTCGTTTTGCCAAACGACTTTCTCTTTGCTCTGGCGTTTGTTGTTGTAAATGTTGCCGTTCTTTTCCTCTTTTCGTCTCAATTTCTTCGCTAGTATTTGCTTCGGTCCTGCGTTTATAAGCGGCCCTGCGTTTCGCTAAACGACATTCCTTTTGTTTCGGGGTTTCCTGATGAGATTTTTGTCGTCTTTTTTCTTTCTGTTTTCCTCTTTCATCGCTTGTACTTACCTCAATACTTCTCTTGTACGCAGCCCTTTGCTTTTCTAACCGACACTGCTTTTCCTCTGGCGTTTCTGCATCCAACAGGGCTCGGTTGTTTATCCTTCTTCTTGCCAGCCTTTCATCATCATTACCTGCATCTTTTTTCCCATCTTTTAGCTTCTCACTTACCCTATTCGCCATCTTCCAAATGAAAATTTTCTCGTTTGTTAAGAGTGTTTTGTTTTTTTCTTTTTTAAAAATGCTGTATTCAGCAGAGTTGAATTGATACGAAATGTCTTTTTAAAAAAAGTTTTTTAAAGACAGTTAAATCTCTAACGTTTTAGTTTTAATCCAAACTGTTCATCTTAGCCAATCAGCGAGTTACTAATTACCAGTACTTTACTCGCTTACATTTCGCGCATGCGCACAAGTACCATGACCATTGAACGTCCACGGTCCACGGTCCACGACATAGAATTTGAGCAACTTTGGATTCCGCTATGTTCTGTCACAATACCCGGGTGTAATAAATCTCCCAGCGGAATTAGTACCCTCGCACGGCGCTTCGCGCCGGCTCGGGGAAAAGATACATTTATGCAGGAACCTAAACTAACTAATTGCCAAACGTAGTTAAAAGCACAACAAAAAGATGACAAAGCACAAAACTAACCAATATAATGTAGCAATAATAAAATATGGGAAACACAACTTTTTAGTAATCTCATATTAAAATATAAATAAACAATTTGAGTTCAAGCACGTCAGAAGTAGGCTTAAATATTTAATGAATTGACGAACTATCAGGTGTGTTTATTGCATATAACAAATACTCACCGAAAAAAGTTTTGAAAGCTTTGTTGGTCATTTTCTTTTAACTCTGGTATCAAGTTGTTTGACAGACCTTAAGCATGACGGCGATCTGCAGTTGCCCAAGGCCTAACCCACCATCTTCGCCCTATATGACGTTTGCTGTGTTCGTACTGCATCAGAAGGCTTATACCCACACCACACGCAAGATTTCGTTGTTTTCTTGTCAAAAACGGCATTTTAATCATGTGAAATTTGTGTCAACAAAACACAAAAGGCCTTGGCCAACAAAACGTTTGTCTCTCTGTGCTTTGTCTAACAACTGTCTTCACGTAATATAAATGAAGTATCCTCGGAGTTGTTTACGTACTTCAGTAATGCGGACTCGTAAAACTTGCCAAGAAAAATTTTTTTACGTACACACGAACAAATAAAACTTGTCACGGAAAACTTGTCAAGGAAAACTTGTTCGTCGTACACACAAGCAAGTGAACGTGTCAAAAAACTTGTCAAGGAAAACTTGCTCGTCTGTGCGGGGCTTAAAACATTTGCAATTGGTGCATATATGTGCTTGATACATATTTTTTACTTTTCCTACCTTGTATAATATATTTCTAATGGATGATAGTCGAGTCGACGTGTTTTCTGTTTTCCATACTGCGTGTAGGCTTGTTACAAGGCGGGAACACATGCTAAAATACACGAAAAATTACGCACGATAATTATGTATAAAACGGAGAATTCATGATGATACATTTCATAGCTTTATAACCACCTCGATATGTGTACTCCGAAGTGTAACTAACCATGTGAACTAACTTTGTAAATCTGGCTCAGACTAAAAATCTGACTTTAATAATATTTAACAATCTGGGACACCCCGTCATTTATGTCATAAACAAATTATATTGCCGATTGATGTCAGCGAATATATGTTTGATGTTTCCTTTTATATTGGGATTCATGACCTGGCACTTGAAACTTTGATATATTTGGCATAATAAATCTCTTAAAAAATAAGCTTAAACATGAAAATTTGAACATTTCAGGTATCACAATGACTCGAACAAACCTGCGCAAATTTTGAGGACAAAACTCACTTCAGAAGACAATAGTCTCAAACAACATGGTAAGACTTACCAAGTCATCTGAGCGTGTCCTTCATTCCAGCATCTCCATACCCAGCGACGTTATAATTTCAGAAGTATGCATGATAGTATTTCAACTCATATCCCCAACATAATGGTGTTACAATATAGAATTTCATGCATGAAAATAAACAAAAAAAACAAAGTGTACAAACTACAAAGGCACGTGCTGCCATGCTGTGATGCTGATGTCTCAATGCTGACATTTAATGGCAAAGTAATCACATGATTTACATCATTTATGTCGCTAAACCGATTACAGCGTGTATCAAACACTCAGGTATCAAAATGGTGCAGACACTATGATTTGCATGATTAAGTAGTGCATCCAAATAGAATTGAAATCATTCATTGCCCGGGACGCCTGAGCGGTGGGCCATTTGCCCAATTACCCTTTGATTTGAGTACCTCTCAAATCTCGTTTTCGCCCCCTAACAATGTGATCCCTCTGACGTTCCTGTTAATTACCAAGTGCGACTTTAAAAGGCAATTTAGGGATTTTAAAAACCTAACCATAACAGTACATAGACATTATAGACATGTAAAAACGCACAAACTGTGACAAGTCTGCAGAGAAGTTGTGGCAAGTCTTTTCAAAAGCTTGATCGGATTTGTTCGCATTGCTTGCTCCAATTTGTCGTAAAAAGTTTGGAACAAGCTGTTACCAACTTGTAACATGTTTGATGGCATTACCAGACTTCTGACAAGTATGATACAGATATATGATATAATAACATTGCTACAAATGTGAACAGTATTGTAGCAATATTCAATATTGTTGTTTGTACGAACTTGCTTAAACAGCAATGTTACACAAGTCTCGTGATTCAACAATTAGGTTTGTTACTGCTTGTTAACAAGTTGTCCCGTCTCTCAAAACACTTGAGACTAGCAAGCTTGTGAATAGACTTGCTACAAGATGTGATATTTTTACGCGCGTACTTGTTAAGTGCTAAATTATGCAAACATGGTTTTATAAATATTGGATTTGCACTCTGTATGTCATATTTCATCCAAGCCATGCAAGGTTCTCTAAAAGCCACACTAAATTAATATTAAGTCACACATAGGACGCGCCCAAGAGGGTTAATTAAGTCAGTCCATATGTTCTCTTATGCGTATGTACTTCACCTTTTATATGTTACAGCAAATGAGATGTGGTGCTTGGGCCTGTTTTTGCCACTGTTGATTGGCGAACTTCTTACAAAAGATGACGATCACTGGAGTGCATACTGTGTAGAATATGTAGGATAACATATTAATGTTACTAAGTAATTTAATATGCATGATTAACGTTACTAGGTGAGGCATCTTCTATAAGCATGTTGTACAATTTAGAAGTATATACTTTTTTTTACGTAAAGCCTGTGTCAAGAACATGGTGTCAGGTGTGGGATCTTTAAGAAATTAATTAATCGTATTTTCATAAACCTGGTCTGCTAATATTCGATGGAAATATAGCTGAAAATTGGAGGCATTTTGTGCAGGAATACAATGTGTTTATTGCGGTGGCTTGTAGCACAAAACAGAAGAAAACCCAAGCATACATTTTGCTAAACTTGGCCGGAGGAGAAGCAATCGAACGAGAGAAGTCATTTACGTATGGCGAGGACGAATCTGAAGAAGATTTTGAATGTTTAAAGATGAAGTTTGGAGAATTGTGTAATCCACAAGCGAATGTAACAATGGAGCGGCACAAATTTAACACCCGAGTGCAACAGAGTGGTGAAACAATTCAATTGTATGTCTCCGATTTAAAGAATAAGGCTACACTGTAAAATTTGAGGGGTAAAATCTACCCCATATATAAGGGTGTAGTTAATTTTCCACAGAATGACCCGTTTTTCGGGGTAAAATTTTAATACACTATAAAAGGGGTAAAAATTACCCTGAAAAAGTGGAGTAGAAATATTACACCCAAACAGGGTGTGAAAATATTTTGCTCTATTTTTAGGGGTAAAAAATTACCCTTGTGTTACTAGCCTACGAAATTGAAAAATGTTATTTAAAGCAGAGTAAAAAATAGACAAACTATTTCACGACACAATTCATCATCAAATCTCAAGTGCCATTGCTGTTGTTGAATTGTTGAAAAGCAGCACTGGCATCTAACAGAAGAACATGCATTTACCCTTTACCCTCCACCATGCGTTGAATTTGAGTACAAGAAAGCTCTTAGAGTACAGGTGGTTAGTATTCGATTAAATGATAGAAGTAACTTTACCTTTAACAGTAATCAATCAAACATCTACTTATATGACATTAAAAATTTTTTTAGTGCAACAAAAAAGCTGCATTTCAGTTCCTGCTTATAGTAGAGTAACAACATATGTAAAAAATCCAACTTTAACACAATCTCATTAAATAAAGTAACCAACATAATGTCACCCAGAAAGATATGGTGTTAATTCCTTTGTGAATTTCTGAATCGTGATTCTCTTTACCGCCTCGTTGCTTTGTAACCCAGCAATGACAGAGTCGACAAAGTTAAAGAAATCTTTGTGGTCTAACGGGTACGCAATAGAAAATACGTAGTATAGGGAGTATAGGCACAACAATACGGTGTCGGATCCATATGTGGTTACATCAAGAAATTTCTCCCCTTCCATGCATATTAGAAGGACATCTAATTTGAATGGAGTATCCCCAACTCCGATAAGCATGGGATACGTTGTTCTCCTCACATGCTCGTTTAAGTCATCATCTTCCTACGTGTAAGAACAGTAAGAAACATTAAACAATTTTTTTCATTTACGTGTCTTTAAAGTGATAATGCCTGTATTTACATTTATAATTTACAAGAATTGCAATGAAGTACGTGTGCGACATAAGAAGAAGCACATGCATGCAGGCACAAGAGGCGAAGCATTAACTGAGATATATAACTAAAGCCGAACAAAAGCAAACTAAAACTTTGTTTGAGACTACAAAAAAGTTCAAGAAAAAGTAACACATGCTGCTTTACCCGTTTGGGAAGATTTACAGCACACATTTTCAGACTAAAACTTAGTTGTCGTAAATATTGAAGCACAATACATGCGTGCTATTGTGTTCATCTCTATAGATTTCGTTGGGAAAATCGTAGCGAGCCACTAAGCGAAACACGACTTAATCCCTTATACATCAAGTTAAATATATGTATTTCATTTCATGTCAAATTTCATTCACATGCAGGAAGAACATATAAGAAATACAACTTTCACACTTACATTTAAAATTTCGATCAGTGATAGTGTATTTTCGGAG